CGCTGCAGGTAAGTCTCCCTGGCCTCCGCCCAATCTCTCTCTCTCTCTCGTACTACTCTAGCGCCCAGCGCTGAAGACTACTGCTAACGCTACTATTGCCCAGCGTTGAAGACTACTGCTAGCGCTACTACTACTACTGCAGCTCTCCTCCAGGGTGCTGCTGCCAAATCCTGAAGACTACCTCCTGCCTCCTGAACTGCACGTGAAGTGCCTGGGAAGTACCTAGGAACTACCTGCCGGCCTGCAGGATGGGCCAATCCTATATAGTGCTGGCCCGTCGAGGAGGCTGCTCTTGCCAATGCCGAAACGTGCCAGACCCTGGCGTTGAAGCTCAACCACCGGTTGTCTTGGAAACAGGCCGGAAATGGCCTGTGCTAAAACCCTGGTTTGTTGCCTTCGTTTCAGGGCGGGTCGAACTGATGAGGGCCTGAGAATGGCCCTCAGTTTCAGGCTGACTCAGGGCCGGAAAGACCCTGATTTAGCCTGAAACAACACAGGGCTTGTAGGCCCTTGTTTTCAGGCTTTCAGGCTGAAACGACACGGGGCCTGTAGGCCCTTGTTTTCAGGCTTTTGGCCTGAAAATGTCACGGGCCTGAAAGGGGGCCCGTGCAGCCTGTTGCAGGCGTAGCATGTAACACCCCCCCTTCCTTATGAAGTCAAGCCGGGGCGAGGGCAAAGCTGACAATCTGAAGGTGGAACGTGGATGCATGTGCGACGTGGAGCCGATGATACCGGCTTGCCTTGCATCTTGCGTTCGTAGCGTGCGAGAACATCTGGAGCTGTTGAACCAACGGTCAACTCTGTGACTGCAGTACGCAAAGTGTACCAAGTACTCGGTTGGCCTGTCACCGTAGCGCCGCAGGGAGATGATGTCACCAACCTCTTGAAAACCGTCCATAAAGGGTGGGTCTTGCGATCCTCGCCCGGGAAAATTGTCATGTTCCGCTGGCGTGTAAAGAGCCAACTTGGAGCAATGAAAGACAGGGTAGACGGGCAAGTGGGTGGGCACCTGAATGGTGAACGAAGGTCCTTCGGGTGCATCCCCAGCGGGTGCCACGATCGGCCAAGGCCCCATCCATTTCGGGAGGAGCTTGCGGGAGATATCTTGTTCAAGACTGAATTCCTTGGCGGAAACTTAAACGAGATCGCTGGCGCGGAATGAGCAAGGAAGACGCTGGCGATTGACCTCTTGGTTCATGCGTTGCTGCGTCTTGGCCATCTGGTCGCATGCCTTGACAAGTAGCTCTTGCATCCGACGCAAGAAAAGAAGATGGTTGTCGCTCTCGGCCATTCGCGGAATGATTGTGTCCAACGGTGAACTGACCGGCGACTCGTGCTCGAACTCTAAGGGCGACATCCCAATAGCCGGGTGGACGGACAAGTTGTAGGCCAACTCGACATCCGCCAGCTGCTCAACCCAATCCTTTTGGTCGGGACGATGAGAGTGCGAAGGAGAACCTGTGCGGTCTGATGCGCCCTCTCCGTTTAGTCATCGGTTTGGGGGTGGTGAGCCGAACTTGGCTTGAGAGATGAGCCCCATCGTTTGATGAGCGCCAACCAGAAATCGAACCTGAACCGAGTGTCGAGGTCGCAGACGATTTCCTTGGGGTAATCCTTGGTTCGAATCAAACCGGCGTAGAGAACCTCGGCCAACTCTGGTGCCTTGGCATGATAGCGGCAAGGCAAAAACATGACAAACTTGGTGAGTCGGTCGACCACCGTGAAAATCCCATCCACACTGGTCTTGTGCTTGGGGAACGGCCCGGTAATGTCCATGGCAATCGCTTCCCTTCGGTGCAAGGGGACCAGTAACGGTCGCAACTCGCTGTACGGACAATGGTTGCGGAACTTGCGGGATTTGCAGAGTCGGCAAACCTCGCATGACTCGCAATAGCGTGTGGCGTCGTCGATAAGGCCGAGCCACCAAAGTCACTCGCGGAGTCAGCCAATCGTGCGATTGACTCCAAAGCGTCCGGTGGCGGGAGCGTCGTGGAACTCGCCAAGAAGTCGTGTACGCAAGTGACAGTCACTCGGAACGCAAAGAGGGTCCTTTCCCCGCGTGTGGACAAGCAAGTACCCCTCTTGGATCCGGTAGTGAGAAGGCGCCGGATTAGGAGAGGAGCAATTCGTGTACWTGTCGCGAAACTCGGATGAAGCTGTCCTGCAGGTCGTCGCCGATCTCGAAGGTTGAGTACACTGCGGTTCTACCAAGGTGGAAGTGCCGCCACTGCTTGAGCGCGTGACGAAGGCGAGGAGTTCCTTTTTGCGTGCATCATCAATGGAGTGCACGACGGGCACTTTCTTGCTGAAGTACTCGACCGGGTGCCAGTCCACGCCAGCGTGTTGCTCGACGACGACACCAATGCCATAGTCGGACGCATCTGTAGTGACGTGCGTTGGCAATAGTAGGTCGTATATGCACAAGACCTTCGCAAATAATAGCGCGGCTTTGAGAGCCAAAAATGATTCCCTCGCATCCTCCCCGAAGTCAAACGGCCGATCCTTGCATTGAAGCTTGGTCAAGTGGGCCGTGATCTTCGAGTATCCCTTGATAAAACATTGGTAGTAGCTGGCAAGGCCAAGAAACAAACGAACATCCGTGACGTTCCGGGGCTCCGACCACTTGTGGATGCCCTCCGGTTTGACAAAATGGCCCAAGTATTCCAGCTTTTGCCGGACAAATTCGCACTTGTCGCGGTTGGCCTTGTACTTGGTGCGGCGGAGCGTCTCCAACACTCGTCGAAGGTGCTCAAGATGATCCTCCAATGATCGGTTATAGACGAGAATGTCGTCTAAGTAGACCAGCACGAACCGGTCCAACATCGAAAGAAAATCGTTGGTCATTGYCGCTTGAAAGGTCGTCGGGGCGTTGGTGAGGCCAAAAGGCATGACCACCCACTCAAAATGCCCATACCGCGTTTTGAATGAGGATTTGTAACGATCGTTCGGTCGGATCGAGATTTGATGATATCCCGCCTTCAAATCCAACTTAGACAAATACTTTGCGTCGCCCAATTGCTCAAGAAGATCGTCGATGCGAGGAAGAGGCTCCGAATTCTTGACGGTTTGCGTGTTGAGCTTATGGTAGTCGATTCACAATCGTAGATTCTTGTTCTTCTTTTGTACGAAGAGAACTGGCGCTCTGTATGGAGAGCTAGTAGGGCAGATCCAGCCCTTGTCCAACAAGTCATCTAGTTACGCGCGGAGGACCGTACGCAACTCCTCGCTCATGCGATAAATGCAACCTTTCGACGACACAACACCCGCCTCAAGAATGACCTCGTGAGAGATCGGCCGACCAGGCAGAAGATGTCGGCGAACTCGTAAAGCAACCGCACCGCACCGGGGTCCGAAGACAGGTTTGTGGGTGAAGAGTCGGCTACAACGACGGTCCGTAGGAAGCATAGGCCGATTTCGTCGGGCTGCTCGTAAGCACAAGTAGCCCGAAATGACTTGGGCATCACCACTTGGCACCGAATCGAAGGGTGCGGAAGAGGAATAGTACACGACACTTCGGCAGCGAAGGCGTCACGAACGGTAAGAGTGCACCGGTGGAAGTTGACCGTGTGATCCGCACTTGCAAGCCAAGGCGTTCACAAAATTATGCCGAACTCTGTGTCCAAAATGTCGAATGTCACCAGTTCGCACGCACAAGGTGCGAAATACACCGGTACGGCCTCGATGTAGCGGTCGATAAGTTGTTGTGTCCTTCCGTCCGCCAACTTGATCGCTGTCCGGTTTGCCTTCCTTCAAACTTGTGCAGCAAGGCCAACCTTAAAATTGCGAGACGCTCCGTATCCAGCAAAGCGCTGCAGAACGCTTGCCGAACTTGGATGCGGACATAGAGGACCGGTGCGTTGTTGTCATCGTACGGCTGCTTGTGAAACTCGCGGGCCACCTCGGTAACATACGCAAGGATGTCCCCCACCGCAGCTTCGACATCCGTCGATGAAGTTGGTGGTGCATAGAAGGCTAGATACGTGTGAAGATGAGCGCCCGGCAAGCGACCTGTGGTCGGGAGAGGAAGCCATGCGAAGTCCTCGGGCTTGAGCGGGTCCAATACCTCTATGTTGAACTCGCCCGCCGAATCCCGTGAAGAACCACTTGAATGATAAGTTGCCGCTGCCGGACGGAGAAGATGTCGCACACACGTCTTGTCCCTGAGCATGAGTACTCAGCATAGGAACGAGCCGGGCAACATAGTCCTCAAAATAATAAAGAAGAGGAGGACTATCGACTTCCGCATGCGCCTCGGAACGAAGGGCGGTCACCCGTGAAGTGACCGGTTCCGAAGGCGTCGAGAGTGTCGTCGACTTACTCCCGGCTGTGCTCAGTTTCCTGATTTGCCTTCGCCTTTCGACGAGCAGCCCATTGTCTCGTGGAGATTGCTGTTACACCACAGACAATAACGAAATCTCGTGCATGCCTTGTATGCTTGCTCAGAGAGACCGTATTGGGACCATGGGGCTGGAGCTGCTACGTCGGGCCCGGGGCTAGATGCGGTGTTTGTCTTCGTCTTGCTGCGTCCTCGGCCTTTGTCGGGGCGGCCACCATCCCGGGCGGCTGCGAGTCTGTCCCCTTCATTGGCAGACACGACCTCGCTAGTTTGTTTGATTGGCGTTGCCGCTGCGACCACGACCACTTTTGGCCGATGCTGATCTCTGCTCGGGCCTGTCGCAAATGAACGGTGGAGGTTCTTAGCCTCCTTGTTCGTGATAATAATCTGCGCGGCCTTGTGGAAGAGCTTTGCCATTGTCGTCAGGCTGTCCTTGACGTGAGTCAAGGCATTGCCCAACGCCGGACACCACCTCGAGATGGACTAGTGTAAGATGGCTTGGAAGCCCATTTGAATGTCTGGGACGGATGTCAAGCGTTGGTACTCGGCAATCCAGTCAACACTCGGCAGCGTGCCTTGTTCAAAGACCATCAGCTTGTCCATTGCCTTGATCTCAAGCGGCTCTACTTGGAACCGCTTATGCCACGACGCCTTTAGATCATCCCAATTGATCTTGGTATGCAAGTCGGCAGCCACCACTCTGTACTTGGACAGGAGATTATCCAGCCATGCTTGGCACGCGCCCCCCGAGGGGGGGTATAAGTACGTGTGATGCTTGTGCTCGCTGACGTAGTGTAGCTGCAACTTGAGTTCGAACTTACGGAACCACGGAATCGGGTCCGTCTTCGTCGAATCGCAGAAGATCTCCTGATCATCGAACTTTGGAGTTGTCTCGCGCGTTTCCAATCTCGAGTGAGTGGTGGCAGTACARATCCGCTGCTCCAACTGTTGCGTGGCGTTTTGCTGTAACTGCACGCCGTCCTTGAGGGATCCGACGTCGATCTCCAATGCCTCGAGGCGATCGGAGTTGTTGAAAGAGCTGGCAACGGGGGTGGCGACGGTTTGTTCCAGCTGCTGGAGGCGGCTGGTGAGTTGGTCAAACACCTTACTGTATGTTTGAACTGCGTCGTCGAGGTTGTGACTGTCCTGCTGTGCAATGCACGCGGCCAGGAGGTCCGTGAGATGGGAGAGGAGTAGAGCGATCTTGTTTCCACTCTCTTCCAGCTTCCCATTCTCAGCCTCGGCCCGCCATTCCGCTGCCATTGTGAGCAAAGCTCGCTCTCCGCTAAATATCTTCTCGTGTCGTTGAAGTCRTTCTACATCGACAACCTTTGCTGCTACCYCGTCTTGCTGGCGCTGTTGTTCAATTGCCAACAGACATGCCTTCTCGGTGTCCTCTRCCTTCTTCTTTGYTGTGGCTGCTACTKYATCCGACYGTTGCTTAGCTTCGGYAATCAGAAGCAGYATCCGGGCCTGATAGGGCTCRTCCGTTTCCCTGAACTTCTGGTCCATGACGGCTGTTTGTGAGCGCAAAAGCATAGACCAGGCCGAAGGCCTGCTTACGTGGTACTCCCTGCTGCTGACGTGGCACTGCTGTCGGCTGACGTGGCCTGCTGACATGGCGTGCTGACGTTGTCTGCTAACGTGGCCTGCTGACGTGGCCTGCTGACGTGGCAACTCACCAATGCCGCAGCGGGGGGTACACGGAGACATAGAGAAGGTAAGACCAGATTGGGCAACAGCATAGGTGGGGAGGGGTGGGTGGGATAAATCGCCCAGATAAGGAGCCACTAATCAAAAAAAGAAAAGTTTGAACTTTGCAAAAAAAATTCAAGAAAAATAAAAATATACTCGTTTGCAGGTGCAGTAGGCCTCCCAGTTCCGTCTGAAGTACGAAATTACCCTGAGGAAAAATTTTGAACTTTCAGACTGCAAATGATTGTCCGATGAGAATTCCGAAAAAATAAAATACAGCAAATATTCAGAATTACTCAGATGAGAGTACGCGCAGTTGGAGAATGATAACTGCAAGAGGGATTTCCCATACCATTTAAAAAAAAAAACGAATTTCGGAAAAAAATATTCAGGATTTCTAAATAACGGGAAATTGCCAAAGGAAATCGAAATTTTCGAAAAAAAGTTATTCCGGATTTTGTAACAACGAAATTTCGAATTTTCAGAAGAAAGTGAAAACGGAAATCCAAGAAAAGAAAAATAAAATTCATTTTCTGGCAGCGAGGTCAAAATCGTGATTTTGGGGGCTAACTAGTGTACTTTAATCAATCAATCAAGAATAATTAGGTACCTAGTCCCCGCACACGTGTCAGATCAGGTTGTCCTGATTCACGTGCGGTGTTCCGATACCACATGTTACATGCCCAGTTGGGCAATGTGCACATATAACCAAAGATCCGCAATATGATGAAAATGACTGAATGGACAATGCAGTGCAAGTAGAATCTCAATAAGCAGTGTGCATTCTGATACGTACAAAAATGGTGCTTTATAGCGCAGGGGAAGGCTTAGATACAAGTCCTGACCTGACCGGGACTGACCTCT